CCCAATCTGAACTTATGCGAGCCACAACCCACAACCCAATCTCTCGGCCTTGGTTTGAGCATAAACCACCTAATGCCTAGCTGGAGGCTGGAGGAGAAGGCGGAGGAGGTCCCCTATCAAAGGTGGCTAGCGCCTTGCACAACTAGATCGAGGAAGCTCAAGCATGATGGACGACGCGCAAAGAAAGCTAAAATGTGTACACCTGTCGGAAGTAGAGAAAAAGAAAGTGAATCTAGCAAGGAGGAGTGCGAGTCAGCTAGGATTTGGGAAGCTTTGTTTTCTCATGTAGGCATGAAAAGAACGATTGCTTTTCTCATTTAGTGATGGAGTGGGAAAGAAAGAAAACCTTAATTGATCCCAGCCCAGCCCAGCTGGAGGCTGGAGGAGAAGGCGGAGGATGTGTAACGTCGCGTGGTGATTGAGCCCAGCCCAGCCCAGCCCAACCCAAGCAAGGCAGAGAGAAGAGGTAGCGCCGTCACGTCACCTCTGCTCCTCCTCCTCAATCAAGCAGAAGCAGAGGAGAGCTTTCCATTTCGGGGATCGAATGGAGGTGGCGACGGTGTTCCTGGAGACGAGCCTGGGCACCCGCCTCGCCGTCTCATTCCCCGCCTCCGCCACCACCGTCGCCGACCTCAAGCGTGCGTACTAGTATCTTTTCTTTCGTTCGTTCCTTCTTTCTTTCTTTCTTTCTTTCCTCATGCTGAAGATGAATCTAAAACAAATCGTTCAATTCGATCTCTTCTACGAATTGTTTTCTTTTCTTCTTGTTTGATTTCTTGCCTCACAACAAATCAGATGAGATGAGATGACAAAACCCTATCTTATCTTAATTACCAATTTCCCTATTTGGGGGTTTTTACAGGGAGAGTGAGCGATGAACACGCCGCAGCTTTTCCCCACATCGGCCACATCGCCGTCCAAGCCATCAAGGTCCGCTGTTCCTCCAAAAACCCCAATCTTTCTTTATCACACTCTGTCTCTTCTTATCAGACTCAGAATCTGGCTGCTGCATTTGCCTCTTCTTGTGCAGGTGAACCAGGGAGGCTCCTTGTACCAGCTCACCGACTCCATGGCCGTCCGGGATGCCTTCCAGGGGGTCACCGGCGCCTGGCACCTCCAACTCCAACTCGATGCTCTTCATGTTGATGCCCATCAACAAGCTCCTCCTCAAGTGCCACACGCCTGCAACTGCAAACATGATTCATCCAGCAGCAGGAGCTTTGCTGCTGCTTTGGGATGCCAGATGCTCACTCACCAGCACCAGCAGGCTCAACTTGAAGCCACCCACACTGAAACTGAAAGGCCACCCCGGGACAAGCATAGGGCGGTTAAGAGGCCTGCTGCTGATTCTGATTTTGATTTTGGCCTTCTCTCTGTCCACAAGGAACCACGCGGCAGCATAATAGCTGGGAACATGTGCAATGCTGCAAACCCTTGTGTTGAGGAACTGGACCAAGCTGATCCTTGTTCACAAATGCAAGTTGAGGAAAAGGAAACTTGGACACCCAAGGAAGCTGATTCTTCACAACAACAAGAAGCAATGCAGAACAATGTCGAGGAAAAGGAGTCGCTGACAGCAAAGCTCTGTAACGGCGATGAAAGCAGCAACAAAGAGACCGATCATCCACCACCACCTTGTGCCGCCGTGTCCACCAAAGAAGGCGAAAATGAAGCTATGCGATGCAAAGTTGATGAAAATGGGCCATTGACAGCTAAGGCGGTGCGCATTGACGAAAGAAACGACAACAGGATGCATCTTCCACCACCTTGTGCCGCCGAGTCCACCAAAAAAGGCGATTCTTATGAAAAAGAAGCAATGACACGCCAAGTTGAGGAGAAGGAGCCATTGGCAGCAAACGTGTGCAACGGCGATGAAAGCAGCAACAAAGAGACCGATCACCCATCACCTTATGCCGCCGAGGCCACCAAAGAAGGCGATTCTTATGAAAAAGAAGAAGCGATAAAACACAAAGCTGAGGAAAAAGTGTGCAACAACGAAAGCAGCAGCAACTGGACTGATCCTTCACCTGGCGACGGGTCCATGAATGAAGCTGATTCTTCAGAAAATGAAGTAATGCAACATGAAGCTGAGGAAAAGGAGCCATGGACTGACAGTGTGTGCAAAGGGGGAGGAAGCAGCCACTGGAATGATCCGATTGAATGGACGGACGCAGAACAGAGGGCATGGGAGATGGCATTGAAGAAAAGAAGGCGGCCGAGGACCACAGTGCGCAAAATGCCCAACAGTAGGGCAGCCAAGCTGTATGGCTACAGGTACACAAACCTTCCTAGTACCATTTATACACTGGATGATTACTTTGTGTTGTTGCATCAGCCCATCCTAGCTAGACATCCGGGCTATGCCCCCGGAAATGTTATGTCATTTTGAAGATAAACTTCCAACTGTGGCCACTGTGTTCCAAAGACAATAAAATGCATACATTATTATGTTTATTTATCCGTAGAGAAAAGTAGACACTGATTGAATGACTAGGTGCTACTAACTATTTTATTTATGCTGTTCTACTCATCAGAAATGCTTACGGTATATAGCTTGTATGATAGAGGAGCTTCTTATCAAGTCATTATATGACTGAGGGACATGATGAAATCTATGTTAATATTTTGCTGCAGTAATTAGACGACCCGCGCACAGCAATCAGTATCTTTCTTGTTGTGGAATGAACGTTTCAAGCAATGTTTTAACACACAAGGCATTGGTGTACCTTGTTTAACACACAAGGCATTGGTGTACCTTGTTGTATAGTTAGTTGAATTTCCTTTCTTCATGTCCTTCGTAGATAATTAATTGCCTATACATGATAAGCATAAGCTTAGGAAGAAGATGCAGCAGTATAAGCACACCAATTAGCTAGGAATCTACTTTGTACTGCTTGTAACAAACATAAACATTTTTTCCTTGTATATTACTTGATACAAAATCCAATATATACAAAATCTATTGATGCTCTGATCAGTACCTACTTGTTTTGTCATGTTACACGCACTGTTATCGGTAAACAAAAAGGATTCGTTTGAAATGTTCTTTTAAATCGGTATAGCACTTGTAGAATTCTATTAGAATGGAAACAAAAAACAAACAAACAAAATCTTTGTAGGCATAAATAAACTCTTAAGACATGGTTGTCACTTGCTGAAATGCAAACTCTGGGTTCAGATCTATGGCAAGAATAATATATGCAGATTACAAGCAAGAGAAACTTAGGATAGAGTAGCGGCTAAACATCTTTGGTCATATTATTATTATTGTCATCTTGTCCCTTTTTGTTTGTGGCTGATATTAACATATAGTGGAATGATTCTGAAATTGAGTTTTTGCTGTGTGGAGCAGCTGAAGAGGAGAGGAGATGAGCGGTGGCATAAGAGGAGGGAGTATCGCATTTTGGGTTGGAAACTAGCAAGGGGGGTTGATGCATGCATGGTGATGGCCATTGTGTTGCTGCTAAAAAACTGTGGTTGGTTTGCTTGTGTTGGTATTTTTTTTGGTTTGATAGACTGAGATTGGTGGTGTGTATGTACTTATGTATGGAATGTTGATGCTGCTGATTCATCAAATCAGACTTGCATGTATGAACTAGTTGAAGAGGATGCTTGTCTTTCCTTATAAACATGAATCAATCAATGTAGTAACATTATTTCTTCTCCAAAGTTATGGCACTTTTTATTTACTTTTGACATGGAACATCTTTATTCTTCCATTAACCTGAGCGCACAGCAATGTTGTTGGCCACCAAGTCTTGGACCATACGGCTTGGGGATCGACGTCCATGTTTGCACCAAATCGAATGCAACCTTAAAACAGAAAGAAAAAAAATGTAAAACAAGAAAGGCTTTTTTTTTATCTCTTTAATTTAAACAGAACACCTGAATAAGCATGTCGAATCGCAAATCCCCATCCATCCACGTTGCGAGGAATCCGGCATCGACGCTAGGAGTTGATTTCCAGCATATCACCATGAGAGGAGTTGATAATGAGCAGCATTTCTTGTGATGTGGAACAAACTTGGCTTCATCAATATCGATCTAGCTCCTTCTCCTTTGCACTAATTTTGTTCCTCGGAAGAAACTAGCACTAGTTATAGGGAGGGTAACATCCATCATATCTGTTTTGTTTTATTTTGTTGGCCTCTACCTTTTTGTTTTTCTTCTTTTCTTTTGCCTATATATGATGATGAAACGACCTCCTAGTCTTAAGATACAACATCATGGCCAGGCCAGGCAGCTGAGCCTGCGCTTGCCATCCATCTTAACTAGCATAGCAGCAGTAGACACTATATAACTAGCCAATAATAATCACGACACCTATTATCGCATTCATCTTTCTTCTCTTCTCTACTCTTCTCTACAAAAGGAACAAAGAAAAGCAACAGCAGCAGCAGCACAATAACAAGAATGAAATGATTCAAGAAAGCTAAGCTTCCTTAAAAAGTGTCAAAATAAAATGAGTGCATCCTCACCACATCATCATGCTAATTAACTAGTACTAGTAATCTCATCTCATCGGTGTTCATTCATGCTACCACCTTTGCTAGATTACAGTTTGCAAATTCATGATTGCCTGGCCTGGCCTGGTCCACACAAATAGAGTATGTTGCAACCGCCTAACTCTCAAACTTTGGTTCATTCATCAGACATAACTAGCAACTACTCGCTCCCAGAAAAACTACGACGATTATATTAGCTCCAAGCTTTGGTTCATTCATCAGAATCCTCCTACTCCTCTCTCTTCAGTCGTCAGTCACGCCCACACTTGAGCCAGCCAGCCTGCTCTAACAACACCTGCTCACACATCAAGACAATGCTGCAAAACAATAACAAACAGGCACCAAGTTAAGTCGGCCACGCCAAGGGGAGGCTGTTTCGGGAGAATTCCAAAGCAATAGCAACTCCTATCAGCAACATCACTACCTTTCTGTTGGTAGCATTCGTGCGGTAACCAGCGTGTCCCTGCTTTGCTCAAGTGGTCGCTGCGGATGACTTCACTGCAATTGAAACAACACTCGCACACATCATCATCAACATCATCTAAAAGGCAGCGGAATCAAGCTTTTTCTCAAAATTTATACGAGTCTTACATACATACTGTTTCTTAGACAGCCGGTCTCCTGGATGATGGTACTTGCAGTTCATCTGGAACTTACAGTACCCCTGCCTCATGTAGTGGTTACACTCGGGTTCACCTGGCCTTTCAGGATACATGATGCTCTCTTCTTGTTGCTCCACGCCATTATCTGACCTTGTCAAACTATCATACGCCCCCGACCCACTTCTCTTATCAAATGCTTCCTGGAACAGCACAACATCCATGAGCATTCACTGGTAACAAAAACCGAGCATCTATGTTCTTTCAATTGGGTGACATGACATACATATTTCATATTTCTACTTCTGATAAATGAAGAAAATTCAACAAGATCACGATCAACATTGTAGAAACAAAGAGCAACCTGCATTGCACTTCAGGTGGTAGATTAAAAAAAGAATTTCTTTGCTACTACACACATAACTACTCCCTCTGTCCCACAATGCAAGACATTTTTGCAAGTTATTTTAGCTTGCAAAAACATCTTACATTGTGGGACGGAGGAAGTAATATTTACTATTTAGCCTCTCCTAGCACTCCATAGTCCATACCATCATATTTTTCAGTGGCCATCTTTGTGTTGTGTGGATATATACTTCAAACATTCGGAGTTCAGATGTGCAATAGGAACCGAAAAGGTTCACAACAGATTTCATTCGTACGATGAGGTAGTAAACAAGCACAGAAAATAGTACTGTACTCACTGTAAATTGGACAAGAATTCTCAACGCACAATTTATTCAGTTTTCATTTGCATAAATGTCAATGCTAGTAAAGATGTCTTTCCCAGTTCCCAGTACACAGGACTGAGCTGACCAGTACTATTTACTATACTTAATGGCATGCCTAAAAATGCAACAGGGATCAGCCAGAGAAAAAGGAACAATTGCAAACTAGAGTAGCTATGATTGAATCAACAGTGTTTACTTGAACATCGACCACTGATAATAAGAATATACCTCTGCAGTTGAACTTGAATGTATATCTTTGGGATGACGAAATTCACATGCTGATCCAAATTGACATTTCCCAGCTTTCATATAGAAAGGACAATCTGGCATGCCAGGTCCAATCTGATCAGAGTGAGCTGCAAGTCTATCTTTTGGATGGTGAAATATACATGCAGACAGATATTTGCATTTCCCAAACTGCAAGTAGTACCGGCACTCTGGCTGACCAGGCCTCTCAGGATACTGCGGTTGCTGGGGAAGCATATAGTCTTGTAATGTGGTTCTTGTAGATGGATGATGTTCATCAGTGGTAACAGATCTTTTTGCATCTGTTGGGCTCGAAGCCTCTGGGTGATAAAACTTACATTGTGCCCTAAGTTTACAGTACCCACGCTTCATAAGGAATGGGCATTCTGGTTCATCAGGTCTCCCAGCTGGGTATTTGTCTTTTGGGTGGTGATAGTTGCACGCTGATGCAAATTTACAATCACCAAATCTCATGTAGAAGGGGCAATCTGGTTTGCCAGGCCTCTCGGGATAGTTTACCTCTTCTTTGTATTTTGACTGTTTTGGGCGGTGATATTCTGGTCTGCCAGGCCTCTCAGGGTAATCCACGTGCTCCCCCTGCTTGCACAAAGGTCCATCTGAACTATCTGCTGAACAGCAACCATCGGAATCGTCTGATGACCAGTCTGACTTCTGCATGAAGCAGATAGGATAAGGAAATTAACAAAAAAGGCACAGACCAGCCTAAATCTACGAAAGTACAGTGCAGTGTCACAAAGTAGCAGTATCCAAGAGATGTGTGCAAATGCAGATCAAAACATCGCATAATATAGGGAAGAAACAGCATGTACCTTTTTCGCCTTTCCTTCCGTGCCAGGCAGTACTTTTTGGGGAGGTAGAAGCATTCTAAATATGCTTGGTGGCAGGACACCAGAGCTAGAAGAGTTCTCATGGTCAGAAGACTTCTTTGAGTATGATGTGTCATCTACGATCGCACCATCGGAAGGTTTCTTCAAGTGTGATCTGTCATCTAAGGTCGCATCATCGGAAGATTTCTTCATGTGTGATCTGTCATCGAAGGTCGCACCATCGGAAGATTTCTTCATGCGTGATGTCTCATCTAATGTATGATCAGAAGATTTCTCCATTTGCAAAGCATTATCCTCCCACCCTGTTGGTGGACTAAACTGAGCATCAATGACATGGTCTGGATGGTTAAAATGGCAGTTTTTGCCATATCTGCAAGCACCAGTTCGCATATAGTAGTCACAGTTTCTTGCTCCCTGAAAAGTAATTTAGACTACCATTCAGTTTCAACATTTTCCAATATAAATCATAAGTACCAACTCCAACAGATGAAAAGATAGCATAGGCATACTTCACGAATGGGAAGGCCAAGGCGGTTCAGTTCCAGAATTTCTGCAGCGCCATGGTTTCTTCGTTCAGAGGGACGCCATGATTCATCTGACCTAGATTTAAGCTGCTGCAGTGACAACATCAACAAAAAGGAGGACGATAAGTTACTAAATAGCTCATGAACAAAGTAGTGAATGAGGTACATATTAATCAGGCTTCCAAACGTCCACTACAATTATCAGCACATAAAACTTTTAAAATGCCACATCATCTCCTGCTTATCTAGAGACCAGAAAGGATGCGAAAGACTACATTTTTATACAGAAAAGGGCATGCATATGAACATATATGTAGAAGCATACAGCAGGGACTGCAGGTGTGAGCTTAATGCACTGAAATATAGATCCCAGTACTACCTGCACAGTTGCATGACAAATGGCACGGATATGACAGCGATAATTTACACAACCTATTGTGCTAAGCAAAATTGCAGCATATTCTACGTAGTACGGAAACCAACAAAGTTTTCTTGCCAAAAAAGTTTAGAGTAAGACATAATATGATAGTAAAGTGACGCAGATTTTACCGGTGGGTGATTGAAGTGGCATGAGGGCCCGTATGTGCAGGTCCCTTTTGACATGTAAGAGGGGCAGTTAAGTTTTCTGGGCTTCTGTGGATATCTTCTAGCAGGCAACGTATACTTCTCCTTGCTAACTATACCCCAATCTCCGGTACCTTGATAAGCTGCCGTGTCCATAGCACGATCATCCTCAGGCAGCTTAACCTTGTCCTTGTTAACTATACCCCAATCTCCGGTACCTTGATAAGCTGCCGTGTCCATAGCACGATCATCCGCAGGCAGCTTAACCTTCTCCTTGTTAACTATACCCCAATCTCTGGTACCTTGGTAAGCTGTCCTGTCCATAGCAAGATCATCCTCAGGTGCACCCCACTCATGGCGGACACACTCCGCTACATCCTTGTGCTTATCAACAGTGAAATCAGACTGTGTTGCTCCCTGTTTATTGCTGGTCCTTTGCTCCAACATGTTCCCCTCAGCATGAACACCATCCATGTCCTTGCCTGCTATCTGTTCATCACCGATGCGTGGCTCAGCCTCATTCTTCTGACCTTCCAAAGCAGTAGCATCACTGGATGTACCCCAGTTATCGACGATGACCTGTTCATTCACATAGCCATGTCCCTCCACATCAATATCATCCTTGGTTCTGCCATTTTTGTCGATGACACCTTGATTCCCCACTGTATCATGTTCCTCCACAGGACTCTCATCCTTGATTGTTACTATTGCATCGCTGGCATATTGCACCACTGCCTTATCCTGGTCTTTCACCACAATATTATCCATGGGCACTGTACCATGGTCGTCTATGATCGACAACTTAACCTGATCTTCCGTGGCAAGATCCATGTACTTTGGGTCAATGACGCCTTGCTCCACCACCATCTCCTTTTCTTTGACAGTGTACTGATCCGTAGTTGCTCTTGAACATTGCTCCAGCACTTTCTCTTGTTTCTCAACAGCAATGTCATCGGTTCCGTCAATGATACCTTGCTGCTTGTGATGTTTGACAGAATCATCATCATCCATGGTTAAATCGACAACGCCTTCCTCCACCACCTCTTGTTCTTCAACAGAAGCATCATCATCCATGGTTAAATCAACAACGCCTTGCTCCACCACCTCTTGTTCTTCAACAGAAGCATCATCATCCATGGTTAAATCGACAGCACCTTGCTTCACCACCTGCTTGTCATCCACAGCATCATCATTCTTCATGGTTGTTCCCAGGTCAGAATAAGTGGTACATTGCTCCACATTCTTCCCTTGATCCTCGACAGCAGCAATGCCATCTGTGGTAGCGCGCGTTCCTTCCACGGCACCTAGCAGCAGCACCTCATGATCTTTGACAGCATCTATGGTACTTGCATCCCCTTGGTCAATGACACCTTGCTCCAGCACCTCCTGATCATCCTTAGCAACATCATTCTCCATGGTTGTTCCCAAGTCATCAGCAGTGGTGCATTGCTCCACTGCCTTGTCATGGTCATGTACAGCAGTGGCATCTGCGGTTTCACCTTCCTCTTGAACTTGCACAGCATCATCAGCATTCTCAGTTGATCCCGGCTGATGAGCTCCCGGCGTCTCTTGTCCCTCGGCAGCAGTATCTTCATCCCTTGGCTGGGTGGCATCTTGCTGCTCCACCACTTGCTCTTGAACTTGCACAGCAGCAGCAGCAGCATCATTCTCCATGGCTGTTCCCAAGTCACCATAAGTGGTACTAGATTGCTCCAGTGGCTTCTCCTCCTGATCATCATCATCAACAGCAATGGCATCATCCATGGGTGCGCCCTCTTGTTCAACAATGACACCTTGCTCCACTGCCTCTTGATCATCCTTAGCAACATCAGCCTCCTCCTCCTGGTGGTGTTGCACGGCAGCGGCAGCGGCAGCGGAAGGAGCGAGCGATGGCGATGGCGATGTCGTGGGGGTTTGAGGAAGGAGGTGGAGAGCCCTCTTGGCCCTGGGAGCGTGGGCTGGAGCGGCCTGGTCCTGCTCCTGGTCGTGGTCCTGGTGGTGGCGGAGGAGGGAGGCGGATGCGGAGGCGGAGGCGGGGGTCGAGGGTGGAGGGGGTTCCTGGTGGTGGAGGTGGAGGTCGGGCTTGAGGTGGAGCAGGAGGCTGAGCCCGAGGCTGGGCGAGGAGGAGGAGGAGGAGGATGCGGCGGCGGGAGTGGAGGGCAGGGCGATGGCGGAGGAGAGGGCCCGGATGGAGCCGAGCAGGCGCCTCCCAAGGCCGAGGCTCGGGGACGGAGCTGGCGCGATCGGCGGCGGAGAGGGCGGCGGGGTGGTGGGGTGGTCGTCGTCGCCGATCATGGCGGGCGGCGGCGGCGGCGGCGGCGTGGGGATGGGGGAATGGGGGAGGATGGAAACCCTAAACCCAACCACTCTCTCTCTCTCTCTCAAAGGGGGAATGGCGTGCGTACGGAGGGAGGGAGAAGAAGCGTCCCTCCTAAGCTAACCCAACCCAACCCAACCACTTGCTGTGGTTTGTTTTGCAGTGCGGCCCCTCGCGCTCTTCATTATTCGGCCTGCATCCTCCCACCAGCACTCTCTCCACCGTGACTGTGAGTGAGGATGTTTGTTTTGCAGTGCGGCCCCTCCCATCCCATGGTTTCCTATTTGCAGCCTCAATAATCAATCACACCGCCGCTCCGCTCCTAAACCTGGGCAAACGTCGGGCCGGGCTTGTAAAAGCCCGACCTTCATTTCTCAAGCCTGAGCCCGGCCCGAAGCCCGAACTTGCAAAGCAGTGTTGGAAACTTATCAATCTGACTATGCTTGCAAAGCAGTGTTGGAAACTTATCACAAACCCAGATTCTCTATGTGCAGAAGTGTTAAGAGGCAAAATAATTTCCTAATGGAATGTTACTGCAGTCCACTTTCAAAAAATATATGGTTAATCATTTACATGGCAAAGCATCATGAAAGGTTTGAAAACTTTCAAAAGAGGATACATTTAGAGAATTGGAACGGGGAGAATGTCAACATATGGGGTGATCCATGGATCCCTTTGAGTCCGGATAGAAAAGTAATTTCAAGGCGTGGACAAACCATTTTAACCAGGATGTGTGGACTTATAGATCCATCTTCGGTAACTTGGGATGAGGAACTTATACGGAGCATCTTCATTCCCATGGACGGAAATTCCACTGAATGTGCAAGCTTTTGATGGTTTTATTGCATCACCCTGACATAAGAGGGATTTTTTTCAGTTCGTTCGGCCTACCATATGCAGTGGATACACACTTTTTGGGCACATGCAATGGCGTCTGAGAGGGCGAGGGGGTCTACAACTCCGGCTATGTGGAGTGCACTTTGAAAGATACAAGTTCCACGTAAAGTTCAAATATTTGGACGGAGAGCATCACAAGGGATCATCCCTCTAAAATCTATTCTCACAAACTAACATATAGGGATTGATGGTGTTTGTCCAATCTGCCATCAGGGAGTAAAAGATCTTAAACACCTCCTGTTCCGATGTAGTCTTGCGAAGGAACTATGGAACCGCTTAGGGATGATGGATATCATTGATGATGTTTGTCGTGATCGACCGATCATGTTTTGTGTCATATTGGAACATCTCTTGCTTCTGCCGGAGTCTTGGCTGCATATTATGCAAAATCTGGAAGTGAAACAAGCGCTTATTGTTGGTTGTTGGTACCTGTGGTGGATCAGGCGACAAATTACCCCACAGAAAGCCATACCCTCCTTCTTTTTGGTGGTCTACAACAGTACTAGGTATAGCGGCATATCTCCATAGTTCCTGCTAATGGAAGCAGGGCGCGGGAGAAGTGCACAGATGAAAAAACCCGGACTTGAATTTCATTAACTGAATGTTGGTGCAACTGTATTTATTGAGGATGCTTCAGGAGGCGTGACAGGCACCTTGAGAGATTATAGAGGTAAATTCCTAGCTGTCCAAAGCAAATATATAGATAGTTTGTTTGAGATGTGACAACCACCGAAGCAATGACCATGAGAGACGGGCTCAATTTTGTTAATGCTATGGGATTTGATCGAGTGGAAGCTGAGTCAGCCTCGCTTGATGTGATTAACTTCTATAATGGTCAATCTCAATGGGATGCAGCATCGGCTATCTTCGCGAAGTGTGTGGACACAACTGCTTTGAGTGGGAAGGTCTCTTTTAAACATTGTTTTCATTCTGCGAAGCAAGTAGAGCATGTACTAGCTAAATTTGGTTATTGCAACAAGACTTCTATTAATTGGACCGACGAGCCTCCAGCATGTTCGGTCGGTGCCCTTGTGAACGATGTAATTTTTGTTGCAATTTAATAAATGTAGCTATGATGACCTTCCTAAAAAAGGGATTTCCCCTCGGGCAATCCTACTCGGCAAATAAAGGAGCCCTCGCCGAAGCCACAAAAAAAAATGGGCCGGCCATTTGATAGATCCGTCTCATTTCGGGGTTTTTTATTTCGCTTTTTTTTCTATGTGTTGTTTTTACCCCCCAATAAAATGTTTGCGGTTTTTTTGTTTCTTTTTTAAATTTCTTTTTAGAGATGGTTTCAAAATAATTCCAGATTTGAAAAAAGTTCAAAATTTGGGAAAAATGTTCAAGAAATATAAAAATGTTCGTGGATTCAAATTTTTTTTGGTCATTTTGAACAAACTTTAATGAATTGAAAAAAAATCACAAATATTTCAAAAAAAAAAAATCATGCATATAATTTTTTTTCATGAAAACAAAAAAATGTTCAAGAATTTGTTCCAAGATTTAAAAAATGTTCGTGAATTGAATATGTTTAGAATTTAGAAAAACTTGTTGACGAATTTGTACAAAATTTTGAAAACTGTTCAATATTTTTAAAAGATATTATCAAATTCGAAAAATGTTGGTGATTTAAGAAATGTTGACGAATTTGAATAGTTCGCAGTTGAAGGAAAATAGAAAAACAGCTCAGAAGCAAAGTGGGCCGGACCATTTGGTACTGGCTTTAGCGAAGCCACTAGAGCTCTCTCTCTCGGGAGAATAATAATAATTCCCTCAAAAAAAAAAGGTCGCAACTCCCTCGGCTCGAATCGATATCAGGGGCAAGCGTCATAAATTGGGAGGAGGGAGGCCATCAAGATTAGCAGCCCAATCCATTTTTTGTGCCACCCATCAATATATGTCGACAAGCCAGTCACCATCTGCAGAAAGGCTAGCTCACAAGGTAAAGGTATAGCTGAATCCTGAATCTATTCGAAGTGCTTTCATACACCTTCAGAATTCCTTCTTCTTTATAATATGTCACTTCTGCATAGTTTCAGAATTAATGATGCTCAACAAACTGTATGTTGCCTTAGTTTCCTATCAAGTTCATGATAAATTATGATTCTATCAATCTCAAATTTTTTTTCTGATTCTAGCTCCCAAACTTATGTTGATGCGTCTTTCATTTAACAGATGACCGCAATCAAAGCTGCCAATAAAGAGCTGACAGGGATGTCTGCACCATGCTGTTGCTTACCAGATTCTTCATGTTCTCAATATTCTCAACTTAAATATATTTTCAATGTCACGATACATACCTATATTGTTGGTGGGAACGATTAAGCTTATCCTAGCTTGATCTTATTAACAGTAACATAGAAGGGGAACATGCAAATCCTTAATAGATTTGATCATGAACTTTGAAGTCTGTTGAACATCTCAGACGGCACATACTTTAATTTGCTTGATTCCCCCTGATTGTCCACACTTGTCAACCACTAGTTCAGTAGACTAATTTGCTCTGCTTACTCTGTCTTTTTGGTGCAGGAGGATGAACTGGGACTGCCTACGGTGCCGTACGCATCAATCCGTGCATGAAAGCAACAAAAGACAATATGGTGATTGGACAAGCTCACTGTATCTTCTATATACCATTGCAATTCATTGAATGATGTCTCTTCTCCATTGTTTTTGGAATAATAATAATAGTGAGTCATGAAGGGAGCTGTTCTCTATACTGTTGTACATTCTGCTGTTAGCATGTGTGTGATTGCACTAGCTGAGTTAAATTGGTACCTAGTTGTTCCATGTCATTCTCGCTAACCAATGCTTGAAATAAAGTGTATGTTGTTCCATCCTAAGGGCAAGGACTACATACTCCTGGATACAATGCTCCATCATAAGGACAAGGACCTCATACTCCTGCCCTGCAACCCTTCTGTAAGTCATTTTACTTAGTATAGTGTGGTAATCTTCCTTTTTGACGCACCTAACTCTGCATGTTTACATTCATCTGTTCATGTTTACGTGATATCATTGTGATTGCTCCTGCTTGGTCCAAGGTATTTTACGTTGATTCCTAGAGAACAATAAAGCGTGACCGCCTGATATCGCGTCAGTTTTGGATTCCAATTTTTCATCTTCAGCTTCATGCCTTCATGGGAGCAATAGTAGATAAATATATACTCCCTCCATCCCATAATGTAAGACGTTTGTTGACATTGTCAAAAAACGTCTTACAATATGGGATGGAGGGAGTAATTATTAGTACACCATTTTAAGTACCCTTGCAGACAACAGCCGAAAGAAAGTGTCACATGCTGGTATTATGTCTAAACAAATATAAGCATAAACACCACATACATTTTACAAGCAACCCACAAAACAAATTATATTTATGCATTGTTAGAAATCGGCAAGCGAACAAACAGAGAAATATCAAGAACACGGGACACCAATTCTTACGTGGAAACCCTTTGCAGGAAAACCACAGGCACACGACGGTGATCTTACACTGTATCAGGAGAGTGTCTACAAACACATAGACGTACAATGAACCATCAACTCATCCCGAAGTATATATATAGGTGGCATATGAGTGACTTGAGTCAAAAGCGGAAACCAAAATCGGCCTCCGCTACGATAGACCCTGACTTTGGATCATATATTAACATGCATCCCTTACTTGCTGTAATGTAAGTGTGCTGAAAGGCACGGGACATGAACTAGAAGAGGGTTGCTGGATGAGTGTTTGGTATGCCTCCCGCATGGTTGGCCTTGCTTGTGGAGAAGATTCCAAGCAAGAAAAGGCCAGCCTGATGAGCAGAACTAAGCTATTCTCTTCTGTTGTTGTTGGTGTCGTCGGCCGTTCGTCTAGAATATCTTTCACCAGCATAGCTTGTTCCCCACTCGACAAAGTACCATCTAATAGATCCCTTGGATGCTTCCCCATCACTAGCTCTAGCACAACCACACCAAAGCTATAGACATCACATTTCTCTGTCACAACAGATGTGTACGACAGTTCTGCACACGATCAAAACATTAGAATTAAGAACTGACAGATAGAGATGAATGCTTCATACGTGAGAAGAACGGTTAGTACTAGTACATACCAGGAGCTATGTAGCCATACGTTCCTGCTAGTGCACTCCAGTTTGATGAATCGGGCTTAAGAATCCTTGCTATGCCAAAATCCGAGACAAAAGCCTTGAAGGTTGAATCAAGTAAGATGTTGCTGCTCGTGATATCTCGATGTATTATAGGTGGACTGCATTCTTGGTGCAAATAAGAAATTGCTTGAGCCACATCATTTGCAAGAGCAATTCTCTTCTGCCAATCCAATTCCTTTGCTAGCTCCTCATTTTCCAATGTCCTGTGGAGGCTTCCCCGCTGAATGTAGTCATAGACAAGAAATTTATACGCTGGATGGGAGCAGAATCCATACATTTTTACAATGCTTCGTTGTCGGATCTGTGATAAGATCTCCATTTCATTGCAAAATCTTCTTTCATCATCCAGCTCCTCTTCGGTCCGATGAAGCTTCTTCACAGCAACTAGCTTCCCATCTTGGAGTTGTGCCTTATAGACCTTGCCGTATCCACCTGTTCCAACGATGTACTTATCGTCGAAGTCTTCTGTCGCCCTTACAATATCGTCAAATGCCAATCTTCCATCAAAATTCCAAACAGAGAATAGGTCCCTTGCTTCAGCAGTAACACTTTCTTGTGGTTTTTTCTTTTTACGACTAAGCATTATTATGACAACAATTGCGGCAACAATGCTGAAACCCACCACGAGAAAAATTGGCAAAAGAAAACCAAATGTCTTCTGTTTATGGTGACTAGCTATTGGAATTGAATAACAAGGTGGCAGGCCAGAGAGGTTACCACACAGACCTTTATTGGGAAGAAACCAACTTGCTGAAGCATTTTGGAGTAGCCGTGTTATTGGGACCGGTCCTTCCAAGTCGTTGTCGGACACATCGAGTGTTGAAAGGCTCACCATGCTTGCAAAGGAGGATGGAATGCTGCTGTTGAACTGATTATGCGATAAATTCAGAAATTCTAGCATCTCCAACTTCCCAAGTTGCTGTGGCAACACACCACTGAGGTTATTGTTGCTCACGTCTAACATGATCTGCAGGCCTGCTAAATTTCCAATCGCTTCAGGCAAACTCCCACTGAAGTTATTGTCGTTTATCTTCAAGGACTGTAGTTTCATGCAGGCCCCTAGTTCCTCAGGTATTGATCCACTCAGTCTGTTCCCAGATATATCAAGGTATCCGAGATTGCTGAGCTTTTCTATCTCTGTAGGTATGGATCCAGATAATTGGTTCGATGAAAAGGTTAGTTTATATAGATTAGTTAAAGTGCAGATTTCTGGTGGAATCTCACCGCTGAGATGATTAGATTCGAGTCTCAGCTCTACTAGGTTGGACAATTTAGACAGGATTGGAGGTATGGAACCCGTAATCATATTTTGTGCTAGGTGTAGTACCGTCAGTTCGGTAGATGCACCTAGATTTGGTAAGATCTGCCCAGAGAGTCTATTCGATGTCAAGCGCATCTTTGTGAGATGTGGATACACACCAAAATGCTGAGATATATCTCCTGTTAGTTGGTTCCACCGAAGGTCAATTCGAACCAAACTCGTGCAAGTCTTTAAACTACTTGGAATGGGGCCATTGAACATATTAGAATAGACAAAGAGATATTGAAGTCTGCCACCTAAACATATATTTGCTGGTAAAGGTCCTGAAAGATAGTTGTTATTCAACGCGAGTTTAACAAGGCTTATGACATCTCCAAATTCTTGAGGAAGAGAACCTGACAATTTGTTATCAAATATATGCAGTTCTTGGATGCTTCGCAACTTCCCAAAAGATTTTGGTATTGAACCGGTTATCTGATTTTCATAGAGGTGTAGTAGTAATAGGTTGGTAATGTTTCCTAAGCTGTCAGGAATAGAGCCAGATATTTGGTTGTCGGCCAAGTCTAATTCTCGGAGATTCTGCAACATGCCCAATTCTAAAGGTATTGGGCATGTGATTTCATTTGTATAGAGATAAAGTTCATGGAGCATAGTGAGGTTCCCTAGTTCTGGGGGTATTGAACCTGTTATTTGATTTGTATAGAGAGAAAGTTGCTTTAACATATTGAGATTGCCTATTGCGGGGGGGATGGAACCTGTGATTTGATTTTCAATGAGAAGAAGCATGTTCAGCTTGGTGAGATTGGTTATGGAGATTGGAATTGGACCTGAAAAATGATTTGAACCAAGATCAAGAATTTGCAAATGGACTAGCCTGCCTAGTTCTTGGGGTATAGGCCCTGAAAGTTGAGTACCAAACAGGCGCAAAGTATTTAGTTGGGTTAGATTTCCAAGGGTTTTTGGTATCAAACCGCTTAAGGTGATGTTGCTTAGCTGTAGAAGCTGTAGGTTGACAAGCCTTCCAATCTCCTCAGGAATGGGACCTGATACCATGTTTTGGTGAATGACAAGATCAGTTAACATTGTTAGGTTACCCAGAGATGCAGGGATATGTCCCGTGAGTCTGTTAAACGAGAGTTCAAGCTGGGTGAGACTCTGCAAGCTACCAAACTCAAACGGAATCTGTCCGTTGAGATGGTTGAAGTTGAGGTTAAGATAAGAAAGTGATGATAGAGAGCTGATATTAGTTGGTATTGGACCATGGAGACTGTTGTTGCTGAGGTCAATATATGTGAGGAATGGAAGAGCCGAAAAGTTGAGCTCACCAAGCTGGCCACGGATGCCAGCACCCGGCAGGGAGATGTTGGCCACCACCCAGGGCATGTGGCGGCCATGGCGAACAGCCGCGCACATGATGCCCGTCCAGTTGCACGGGCTGGTGTTTTCCTGCCAAGAGCTCATCTGCAGCGGTGGGCTTGCAAGTGTAGCTTTCCAATGGAGGAGCGCCGTGTGTTGAAACCTCAGTGAGATCCCTCCATGGCGCACCGCATGTGCTTCCTCCAAGAGAAGAAGGCACGGCACCAGCAGTAGGCAGAGGAACAACAATGCTGTTGAGGAAGATGGCATTTTGTTGTCCGGTGTTTGCATGTTGTGTTTGGTTGGGGGATGTGATTCAATAGACAATGGAACTCGGTTGATGAGTATTTAAGCAGTGTGTCATCAATTGTTATGAGGTCCTCAGTGAACGCACGACAGCTGATTGGAAGCTGCTACTTGAAGACTATTCTTCAGTATCTGTCGCCATCTCTGCCTCTATTTTCTTTCCTCATCCGCGTGGAAAAATAACACACGAATTATTCCTAGAAAGAGGTTCCCACGGCGTACGCCTACTCACATCTTCCCCATTTCTCCTACGTCTACAACTTATGCACTGTATGGACTGAAGTTAACATTGCAGTAGAGTTTTTATTTGATGGTATCCCCTATGATTTGTTTGGTAGTATTTCTTGTTTATTTGATCATCTAAAACTTCTCTAGTCATGCCTTAAGCCATCCTCTAAAATGTTTCTCTTTTCGCTTTTCAGTTGGTACATGGAACCGAATAATTAGCTAAAGGACTCATGACTGGTGACACAATGCAACGACAAATAGTGGGAAAAAAATCCGTGCTGGAATTCTTCAGTGTTGAATCGTGGTTCACACTAATCATTGACCCCAAGTCTTGTTGACCCCAGCAACTTATGCACTGAATTGTGGTTCACACAAATCCTTGACCCCAAGACTCGTATGTTTCACACTTGTCTTCCGTCTACAACTTATGCACTGAAATAGACTTGAGTTAAGATTGCAGTAGTGTTTTTAATTTGATGGTATATCCTGTGATTGGTTTGATAGTATATCTTGTTTATTTCATGATGCAACATGTGACTGCAGTTCCATAAAGAAATGGAAGCGGCTTGTCTCAAGCTATTCTCTATAGTACTAATGTTTCCCTTGTTCGCTTTTCAGCTGCTACAAAAGATTAAAAGCTCATTGTCGGTACTGCAACGCAATGATTAAATGTGGGGAAAATTCCCAGGTCTTGTTGGAAAAACAAGGGTTTCCGTGTTGAATTTTGGTCAATACAAAACCTGGACCCCAAGTCTTGTTGGAAGTCATGTGTCCGAGGAAAGATGAGGCAGTGGCTGCAGCCTGTGGAATTCAAAGCCTGAACAACCAAAGCATCGTCATGACGACACTGACTGAAGAAAAGTTGCAAGCTCAAGCGGGTTGACTCAGTAAATTTGTTTACAAGTAGTAATCAAAAGTGTGCAAATTATCGTTGCTGCTTTAGTACTTTGGTATCTCATAGCAGTGCATAGAGATGTACTAGTACAATACAACATATCAGAAACGGCAGTAAACACTTGTGCATTTTCTGTTCATTTGATCATGTAACTTGTAACTACTTCAGTTATGTCTTAAGCTCTTCTCTAAAGTGTTTCCCTTTTCGCCTTTCAGCTGGTACACAGAAGAAAAGATTTAGTTCAAGAACTCGATGGCAACGACAAGTTTTGTTGAAATTTTGCCACCGGTGGTTGTAAAAAAAAAAGGTTTCTTGTGGAATTATTGCTTGCCTGCCGACCAAAGTTGTTGTGTAGCAAAGGCACCAAACCTATCATTAGAAACGAAAGAAAAAGCAAGCATTGTGCCCCTTAATATTTGCCAACCAAAGCTTGAAACTGTTTGTCTCCAGTAGTAAAGTAAACTGTTTTTGTTCCATGTCAAATTTCTAATATTTGTTGACCTGTTGACCAAACTTTCCAGCCAGAAATTCAGGTGGTGCCTGAATGTGCTTGTGCTTGTGCATTTAGTTGGACTAAAAGTCTCAGCAAACTTATTAAAAGTTGCGGTCAGAAAAAAGTAGTCCTTGTCAAAAGCAAAAGTGAAAGCCACATCTTCCTGCTCACAGAGTGGCAGCCAAATGGACCAGGTAGTGGAATTATTTTGATAAATTTATCTATTTAAAAAATACATTAATTTTGTTATGCTCACCTCACCTCCTGTCAAATCGGTTAAGATTCATCGACGATGCCTTTGCCACATCCCTGGTGAGAAGAGTGCAGAACATGTTCAGAGATTTCCAGCTCAAAGTGGTACTGTGAAAACAGTGAGTGTGTTCCCGGGTAGGCTCCAAGTCAGGATATGCTGCAGATTAAGGTGGCCAGCGATGTTGCTCAGCTATTTGATTAATGGAATCACTGATTTCTTTCCATATGAAAAAAGGGATATATTACAAAAAACACACTCCAAAAACATTTAAAAAATGTTGAGCAAGGAATATAAAAATGTTGACAAGTATTTAAAAAATGTTGAACAAGTATTTGGAAAATGTTAAACAAATATTTGAAAAACAATGTTGAACAAGTATATAAAAATGTTGAACAAGTATTTAAAATGTTGATTTTATTTAAATGCTGAACAAGTACTTGAAAAAAAAATCTTCAACACGTATTTGAAAAAAATGTTGATCATGTATATAAAAATCATGAACAAATATTTAAAAATGTTGAACAAGTATTTAAAAAAATGGAGAAGGAAAAAGAAAACCAAACAAAAAGTGGAGAATAAAAAACCAAAAGAACAAAGAAAACCAAAAAAGAAAGAAAATAAAAAAAAGAAAAGGTAAAATGGAAAAATAAACCCGAAAACAAAATGCAAAAAAGAACGAAAAAATGGAGAAGAAAAAAATAAAATAAATAAAAGGAAACGAAGAAAAAAAAACCCGGCTCAAGCCCTATTTGATTCGTAGGATTCTCAAAACGCGGGAATAAGAAAAATAAAGGGTTGAAGTGCCATGCCCACTTGAATCCCATAGGATTAGCACATAGTGTTTGATGTCACAGGAAAAACAAAGGAAGTGAAAAAAGAGGTTGGAGTGGATGCTAGATTTTCAATGAAATCTAGTACACATGATTCCATAGGAAAAATTCTTATAGGATTCAATCCTATGAATCAAACAACCAATGTAAGAAAAAAAATCCTAAGGATTCTAACTCTTCAAAAATCCTATGAAATTCCTTTGAATCAAAAGAGCCCTCAAATGGCCTACAGGGAATGCGCGCGAGTTTAAACTTGGACGGGGTGGCTAGCAGCGCGCATTTCCTACTGCTTCAATAAATTCGCGCGTGAATTGGGCCGGCCCAGTTACATTAGAACCTTCAGCGAGACATCCCGCAGCGATCGCTCAATGCGAAGCGATAAATAGTCGTTGTGGATGTCACAAGTTTTTATTTCTTTTCGCCGGTTCAGCTTCCACAAGTTTTTTCCGGGTTTTTTCTTTCATTTCCTCATGCACGGTTTTCGTTCAGTTTATTATTTTTTGTTTTATTTTTTTATTTTTCATGAACTTTCTTTAGAATTTGTAAAATCATGAAAGTTCTTCAAATCCGCAAACTTTTTCCAAATTAGAGAACGTTTTTAAAACACATTAAACTCATTTTCATGAAATTTTTAATATTTGAATTCGGGAACAAGTTTAAAGTTCACAAAAAATCAAACTCATCATATTTTTTTCAAATTCATCAACTTTGTATACTTTTGAATTCATGAACAAATTTGAACTTTGTGAAATTTCTCCAAAAATGTGATTTTCTCAAATTTGCCAAAAAATCCAAATTATTGAATTTTTTTAAGATCCACATATTCATGAACATTTATTCAAATATGTGAAGTTTTTTCAAATCCATACATTTATGAATCTTTTTAAATACACAAATTCGGGAACATTTGTTGAATCACGAATTTTTTCAAATTTGTGAACTATTTTCAAATTTGTACACATTTTTAATTGCTCAATTTTCTTAAAAAGTACTATGAAAAACCAGCTGGCTTTTTTCCTAGCAGACCAACTGCAGAAAAATTGAAAAAAATTGGCTTTTTTCATAGAATGAAATGAAAAGAAAAAAAGTTAGTCGGCGAGGCGTGCGGCAGCGAAGCGGGCGAGCGAGCTGGCGCAATATTGGGCTGCGGCCCGCTGGCATGGGTGGCAGCGCGACCTTCCTCCACCGAGCACAAGAGCGATGACCTGACGATGACGTCAGATTCTACCTATCGAGTCCAACCTGGAGGTTCCGTATCCAAAACGTATCGCAACAATATTCCACGTGTATCAAAACTAATTTTTTTTTAAATCAAAGGATACGTTCCAGGGTAGTACGCGAGTATCAGGGCAATATCTAGCTGGATATGCGTTCTTCCCGAAGTATCCGCGCAACATAGTCTCAGAGACGGAGCTCCTGTGTAGCCATTGGTGTCAATTGACTCCAATATGTTCTGGCTTTAGTGTAAAAAAACATCTTACATTATGGGACGGAGGAAATACTGTCTAGGGAACGCCGCACAGCCATAGCAAGGGTGGATGATCCAGCTACAATCGAGGCAATCGTGTGCCGGGTAGCACTCTCACTAGCAGAGGATCTCCATGTGCAGAATTGTGTCATTGCATCAGAGACCTTGCCTGGAGAGAGCTTACTGAAAAAGCGTGTTGATTTGAGGGATAGCCCATAGAAGAAAGCAATAGATTACAGCAGGATTAGTACCAGGCAGACAGTGGCGGAGCTAGCGAGGAATGGTCGAGGGGGCAAATGATGAAATATAATTTTTCGGAGGGGCCAAAAATTGTATTTCTCTCAATTTATAGCACCAAAAAATGAGTTTCTTCATAAAAAAATCCATAGGCTGGGGGGGGGCATGGCCCCTGCAGCAATACAAGTAGCTCCGCCAGTGCAGGCAGATGTCCAGGCGACCAATTCCTAACGCCTGGGTCAGGTTAAGCAAACTGCATGGGGTATGGGTCAGGCCAGGTGCCAGAGGACCGAGGGTGTCCTCGGGCTGCCGGCCTATTTCCCATGGGCCGGACAGGTGGGCCGCACTACAACTTATGGAAGGCCAAGCTATGAGGTGACCCCGTATCCGGACAACAGGTTTATGATGTCTTGGTGTGTCTTCCAAGTCAAGTCAAGAAGAATCGGCGTGTTTACTCCATCCTGGTAACCGACCATGTGTAACCCTAGCACCCCTGGTGTCTACATAAACTAGAGGGTTTAGTCCGTAGAGGCTAGAACAACAACCATTATCCTACCACTAGTAGAAAAGGGGGCAATGGT